TTGTTATACTAACAATCGTAAAATAATAAAGAAGACTAAAGACAAGATGGCCTAAGTAGAGAAAAAAAAAAAAAAAAAAAAAAAATACAATATATAGCAGCTATAGTAAACCTAAAATAAAACAAATTCAGTTTTTAAGTATTTACTATATTAATAAATATTAATAAGACTACATATTATAATTATATAATCCCATTAAGATCTTTTATATAAAAATCAAAACTATATTATATTAATAAAAATTTACTAGCCAAAGACCACCTTAACAATAAAAAACCTTTTCAATAGAAATGCTTTCATACATTTTATATTTTATTAATTTTACATGACTACTAATATTTTAAACAATAACTTTTTAATGTAATTAAATAGTAAGAGAAAATAACTTGATACGATTGATAATTTGTACTTGTTTTGAATCATTAATCTTCGCTTCTATAGCTAAGGACGTTATAATACTCAATTACCTTTCGGGTGAATCTCGGTAGCATTTTAATCATGGCTCGAGACTGAGAATTTGATAATAACCACGAGTAATTCATTTATCAATTAACAATAAAAGACTATAACTGATAAGAAATTAACTTTTATTAAGGATTTCTCTTCTAAAAGCTGTTAGGCACTTCTCGAATTTTGAAGAAAACTTGGTCGAAAAGTTTATTATTCATGATTCGAAGTTTTATAATTATTTCACTTATTGTATACATTCCGATATAACTATTAGCATATCAATTTATTTAACATATCCTACTTAGACGCTAAATCACTCTTAGGTTCTTAATTTGAAAAATGAAAACGGAAGTTTTAATAATTTATAGCATTGATTTAATAAACTTAACCGACTTCTTAAATTTGATGCTATTAACCAAAAATGGGACATATATTTGGGTTTTATTTATTATCCCAAATGAAATAGAAATCCCGATGCCCAAACCCAACTACGTAATAATGTTATCATTCAAAAAAAGGTTTGGGTCGCAACCCTAATGGCTGCTGAGGGGAAGACATTCCAGAAAACATACTAATTACTCGTTTATAAGGTGAGAGATTTGTATCAGGATTCTTCTTTATTTCTATCAATGTTTTAAGCAGTTGAAGCCTTTCAATCTTTAAACCTTCCAGCTGTTGTGTAAGCTCTTTGACTCTATGTATGACGTTTTGTTAAAAGTAATGCCACAAAATAAGTAATAATCAATCAGTAAATATTAAATCATTTACCTATCCTGATTTACATCTGCAATTGGTCCAATTTTTGTCATTTCTTCCGAGATTAAATTTTCTAATCTTTTATTCCTTTGACCTTCGATCTTATCCGTCACCAAGTTAATTAATTCATTCACACGTTCTTTTCGCATAGGTAAAGCTCGAGTTTTTTCTTTCAACCCTTCAATCATACGATTTGTTTTTTCAAGGTCCTCGCTATTGGATGCTAATTGCGCCTGACACACGGATAATTCTTTCTCTTTTACTTGTATTTGATTAACGTACATATCCTTAAAATCTCGTAAAATAGTGTTGGCGTCTTATGTTAACAT